TTACCTCTCAATGAACTATTTCATCTTCTTCCTCTTCTCAAAAGAATAACTACTTTGCAACCTTCATTGGAGAACACCACTTTCAAAACAAATTGAGATTTTTGGAAGGAGAACCCTCTAGAATTTTTCTGCCCATAAAAAAAACCCTAGAGAAAAATAATAGACTTCAACCTCTCTCAGTCTAAGTTTTTTTGGTTCACCTCTTTTTCTAAATAATAATAAATAAATAAAACCCTTTTAATGCGAAACTCTAATCATTATATATTTTCCTCTTCACAAAAACACCATTTTAAATATCAGCTATTAACCACTAAAGCCGAAGCCCAATTACTATAAAATGAATAAAATAATAAAAAAAATTGTTTCATGCGGGCTGAACCGCATTCCTACAATATGTCGTCCAGAGGTATAAAGCATCCATCTTAAAGATGGATGAAAATAGGTGGTCCATCTAAAAACATTGTAATTAACGGTCCAAATGTTTTCTTAATATAACTATTTTTTTTAGTTTTCCAAAAAAAAAATTCATATTCATGATCTCCATGTTAAAGATTAATATTCTCTAAAAATTATATGTAAAAAATATATTTATTACCAAGCCCACATGTCTACAATATGCGGGCTGGCCACACAGAAACCGTGTCCAAATAATAATCATATGTTCCCTTTTTTTTCCTTTTTTATTTATTAACCGTGGGAATGGAGGGCGGGACATCAGGTTGAGGTGTCCGCGCAGTATATCTTCATATCAAGCTATTGTTTCGATAGAAACAAAGAAAAAGGTTATATAAAGATGCAACTTTTTTTTTTTTTTGATCAAGATCTCTACTTTTATTGATAACTACGAAAAGGAAATTACATAATCAGAGACAATAAGAGACGGAATAGAAGTAACCCCCTTAGCTAGGAAGCCAGCTACACTATTGACTTCCCGATAAATATGAGAGAAAGAGACCGAGACTGCAGCTTCCAAATCCATCACCTGCAACCATAAGGACTGGAGTTCCAAGGGACTCTCTGTTCCTTTTTGCACCATCTGATCACATTTAATTGTACAGCTACATCCCATATTCCTCCCAGTGAAAATCTTCAATCCACAAAGCAGCGTACTCAGTGCTGCAAAATTTCCTGTAGCAGAACCTATTGGACCAGCATATGAAAAGAGAACATTACCAAAACAATTTCGCATTACACCTCTAATTCCTGCTAATCCTAGGTTTCCAAATGAACTACCATCAAAGTTAAGCATTAGGCTTCCTGGATACGGTCCCATCCAGATACATCTTGGTCTAGAGCAACTGGAACGACTATAGAACAAATTACGCAGATTAGCCATCACATTCACCTTAGAAACACCCCAACCCTTTTATATAAGGATGCAACTTTATAATGTAGAACTACGGATGCACCTCAAAAATCCATCGGAAAAGGTAGTGTTAATGTTGAAAAACCCTTTGATTGATCATCGAGATATATGACCATGAAAAATAAAAAGATTTTAAGTCTCAAAAATAGTGTATTTTACAAAATATTATCTACACCGTCCATTTTTAAGATTTTCATATGTTTATAAATCTACTTGATTTTGACCATTTTTAAAATTTAAAATTTTATAATTAGGTA